TGCTAGTACAAAGTTAGTGCTCAGTGCCTGCTACCTGTACACAGTTATCATAAAATCTCAGAGGATTTTAGAGCTAGACGAGCCATGTGGATTTTTCCAATAAAAACAGAAACTCTATGCAATGAAGAGATGAGGTGCAAGGTGGTGAATTCAATCCTCCAAGACTGTGCAGGCTACAATACCAGCACAGAGGCTTTATGACTTATTTACACATAGACCCAAATGCAGGCACGTGAGCAGTCAAAATATATATCACGGTAATGGCGTACCTGCTGTTCGAGGAACTGACACACCGTACAATTTGGGTCTCTGGGGTGAATATGAGAATACATGGTAAATTCAGGGAAGTTGTCTCCTAGGTTGGAAGTTGCAAAATAACGCTCAGGCAGAATGCTGAGAGGAGTCCTTGTGGAGGGCAGGGCACACGATCCCAAGCAGTGTCTGTCCTGCTCGCCAGTGGAACGTAGGTACTGTGCTGGGCAGGGCGGGGAGTGGTATCATTGTCTGAGCCACACGAGGCTCCCTCCCTGTGAACATCAAACATGGGTGATGCCTGCCAGAAAAGATACAGAACAGGGCATTCAACTCAGCTACTGCCCTTCTAGTTATCCTCCCATGAGCATCAAAGACAAGTTAAAGACTTTTCCACAGGTGTGAAGAGTTAAAGCTTGGGTTAACTATGACAGTGATCCATGCACATCTGTGTGAATAGAAGCGCAACTCGTAACAGCTAAGTCATGGAAGCAGCTTCTATGCCCACCCACAGATGACTGGATAAAAAATGCATTTACAAACAATGGAGTATGGCTTTGCCATAAAGAAGGATAAACTCGGTGACCTGTAGGAAAATGGATGCATCTTGAGACCACCACATTCAGTGAAATGAGTCAGGCATACAAGCTTAAATATCATGTGGCTTCTTCTATATGAGAAACCGGCAGCATATATAAGGAGCGAACTAGAAGGTGGATAACCAGAAGTTAGGAGGTAGGTCTTTTACAGAGGAAAGGAGACCAAAAGATGGGGAGCAGACATGAAAAGAATGAACATGCGTGGTGTCCTCACGCCAGCTGCCCGCGATGAACGTGATCGCTACGTACCGCAGACAGGTGCCAACGAAAACTGAAATGGCCAGGGCCGTTGGCGGTGTCACCTGAATCGGTCAGGGTCCTGAAAGAGCCTTCTTTCCACACAGAGGAGGGGAACACACTGCTGTTTTTAAGAACAGTACCTGATGGTACTACTGGGTATGAAATAAGATACAGGGCGCCGAGCTGATCGCCCTGCACTGAGCCTTCTCGGGTTATGTGCTCCAGCCAAGGAGCGCACCCTGGAGCAGGCTGGGCCAGGGGCGAGCAGAGCCAGGGGCCAGCACGACTCAGGCAAGGAGAGAGGAGAGGCCACGCAGGACTCTAACACACGTGGAGGTCTGAGAGCAGCCTGACTCGGGCGGACTTGAGGTTCAGGAAGGAGGAGGACTTCCAAGGACAGGCTCCTTGTGTACGTGATGTCAGTGACGCGAACAGAGTTCAGCGCAGGAAAGGCAGGATTCCCAGCTAAGCATCAGGGAAGAACTTAAAGAGAGCGGTGAGCGAAGGCCTGACACACAGAGGAGGAGAGGAACGGAGACGAGGGCCAGGCAGGCAAGGACAGGAGAGCGTGGGGTCCGGTGTCTGGAAAGCCGGAGAGGATGGCGAGGATGATGGAGCCCCTTGGAGCCGGGAGGGCGGAGGAGGGAAGCCAGACAACTTTGGACCCCCAAGAAGGGATGCTCTGACTGGTTAGGCACATCAAATTCAGTGTCACAGACTTTTAAGGTTTGCTCTGTTCTCCACTTCAAAATCCTGCGGTGGATCCGCAGAGCCTGAGCATAGACTTTATGACCCCAGAGGCGGGCACGCTCCAGGACCACTTTCAAACCACTGGGAGCTCCAGGAACAAGAGCCATGCCCCGCCCAGCAGGAGCGAGTCCTAACACCACTGTTTCTCTTCATGTCCTTGGTGAGGGCTTAGTCCCCATACTCTGAGTCAGTTCCTTCCTCTCCCGCCGGAAGCCTGTTGCATCTTCTCAGCCCGAGCTCACAGGGCCCCTGAGGGTTCCAGGAGGGGTCTCGGTGGGCTCTGGGTCACGGCATCTTGGCTTCGGGATGCTCCTTCCCTGAGCCCTCATGTGCCTCCTTCGAGCAGAGACACCAGGTGTCCAGGTCAGGATTCTGACGCTCTGGAAACCCTCAGCCCCAGCAGTAATCCGGCCAAGTGTGACTTCTTAAAATAAGAGTTTAGTATCAAATGACATGCTTGGCTGGTGCAGGCACCTGGCTGCTGCTCCGAATGGAGGGCAAGGAAGGAACACAAGCTGTCCTAAGTCCGGACTCTCAGCTGCACATCTGCCCCGGGGGAAGGCGGGACAGGAGTCCACCCTGCGGTGTGCGCAGTGTCCTCCGGTGCAGCTCTGTTCCCCGTGAGAGAAGCCACATCAAGGCCCTGCTTAACCTTCAGTGTCCCCAACCTGCGCCCCTGCCATACAGGCGGCAGTCTCTGCTCTGCCAGGCTCTGGGGGCCCCGGGGACAACAATGTCCTGCGCTGCACCGCGGGAGAGAACCCTGCCTGTGAAGAAGCCTCTCCCCAGCGATGCCAGCTGGCTCTTCTGTGTACAGGCGAAGTGGCATGGTTTCTGAGATTTGTTAAAAGATAGGAAAACGTAGATTGAAATCATGAGAGCCCTGTGTTCGGGGATGGGTGTGGACCTCCACTTCCCATTCTGTCTTATATGAAGCTCAGAGTTCTGTAACACAGCGCTGTGGTCTTTGTTATCTTGGTAGATAAAATAGGTAAGTCATTACAATCTTACATGCATCTTTTGAATTTTCAATGAACGTGAACATATATTTCTAGTCATTTATGTCATTTCTTCTTAGTTTTCTATGCATATTCTTTGACTTTGATTTGTAGGGGGTTTTAAGGATAATAAAGCCTTTCCTTTCCTGTGTTGAAATGCTCTGTGCTGTTCTTTGTGAGTCTGCCTTTTATCTGTGGTGCTTTCGAATGCACCTGATGCTTTCCTGGAGGAGGCAGGAGCCCACTTCCCCCTCAGAGTGTGCCTGCGGTGTCTGCAGTGCCACCCGCGGTCCTCAGACACTGTCTACTCCTGTGAACCTTGCAGTGAAGCTTGCCCTGCCCTCCGGGAGGGACTCAGCTCCCCAACCCGGCCATGCGCTTCCTGTCCCCTCGCTGGCCACACCCAGCCTTCTGCGTCCATCCAACCCGGCTCGGCCCTGCTCTCTGTGCTCTTCCTGTCCTGCACCTCACCTCTGAGTGGCAACAGCCCCCAGCAAGCTCGCAAGGGTCCTCTCCTCCTGGGGTGGCTGAGCGCCCCTCGCTCCCGTCCCCCTGTCCGGGCTCAGTGGCACTGGTCCACTGTCATCCCCGCCGCAGCCCGCTAAGCCGTGGCTCCTCCGGGGCAGGGGCTTTGCTCTCTGTGGCACGGTGTTCCTCTGCGCTTTAGTCGGAGGCTGCCCATAGGTACTGCTTCACCTTGTGTGCTCTGCATCCTCCAGTTGCTTTGGGTCAGGGTTTGCGGCCTTGTCCCCTAGTTCCCAGTTCAATTCAGACTCCTCATGCGCAGCTCCCTCCTCCTGCCTGGGGTCCCGCATGGTGGGACGCATGCATCCTGCTCCTCCCTGTGCCCCACGCTGCGCTCCTGCACGGAGGCTGACCAGGAGGGCAGGCTGCTCTCTGCTTCTCCAGCTGCCCCCAGTCCACACCACGCCTCATCTTAGCAGGCAGGGCAGGCTCCGTCCCAGCTGCTGGAACCCAAGAGCTCTCATCTAGGGGCTGGGTTATCATCGACATGCTGCACCCCATCTACAAAGCTCTCCCCACTCTCCAGCTGTGGGGCGTGTGTGGCCCATGGCTGGGTCCTCATCCAGCCCAGAGTCGCCACCCAGAGGGGTCAGTGTGCAGGCACTGCTGACCGCCCAGACTTGGGCGGTGAGCCTTTCATCCAGAACAACTTCTCCACTGAACAAATAGCTCAGTTGGCAAGTCCCGGAGGAGCCAGCTTTTGCCTAACATCAGGAAAATGTGCAGTAATTTCTTCATGATTTTTAATTTAGGAATTCTGTGTATGTTTAATCAGTTAAACTCTGCTGGTTAATTAGGCTTTCAGAGGAGGGGAGTAATCCTGAGTGTGTAAAGCACTTGGAGTGAATTCATCCCATTGGGCAGCTATTTCTCTTTGCGCCTGTTCATGTTTAGGAACCAAGTGACAGTAGGGACCCTATCACAGTGGCTATCTGTTGTAGGGGCAGGTTTGTCTTCAGGCACATTTAGCAATAAGGAGGCACAGTTTTGATGAATGGGAGTCGAAGTGCACTGCTGGAACACCCTTGGGTGAACACGGCAGCCCAGACCCTGAGGCTGGCCATCAGCCCCACCACGGAGGAGGAAAGGCTGCTCAGAAGAGCATTTCTGTGCCATGTGGGAACTTCTGCAGACTCACAGTCACCCCACATGGGTGTCCAATCAAAACGTGGTGAATAGCAGGCCTCCCAAGCTCTCTGTTTCCCCACAGACACTCGCCCGGTCACTTCCCTTTCTTTGCAGGAAACCACAGTCCTCCCGGAAGTCACTGGCGCATGGCCTGGTTACGGCTTTCTCACCGTGAGCTGCACACTCTGCCTGCCACAGCACCAGAGTGCTGGCCTCTCCCCTGGCCCCAGTGCTCCTCTTCCCCAGCCAGGCTCCCCAGTGCTGTTTCCTGCCCCCGGGAGTCTCCCTGTCTCCCCTCCATCTGTCACACTCACTTCTGCGCTGCACGAGACATTTCAATATTGCTTCTGCTTGCCCCATGACACCGTGACAGTACTTTGTCTTTCCCTCCCTGTTGTGAATCTAATATTAAGTGAAAAGCGGCAATGCTAGTTTCTTATAATCAGTACAAAAGTTACTTTACTGGGGAAAGTTGGCATAACTTGACCTCTGTGTGTGGACCCCACAGGTCTCGCTGAGGATGATGGGTACTCGAGGGTGTGTGTGAGCAGCACAGGGACGTCGTCGTTCCAGAGACATCGGGAGGGTCACACCACTCAGGTAAGGATGCCGCATGTCCGTGTGCCCGGCGACACGCAAACAGGCTATGACTGACATCCCTTCAGTTAGAGATCTTTCTCCTCAACTGGAGAACTTGGTTATCCATACCTCTGCCCTGCGGTCTTCCAACACAACATTCTTCTCTATATTGGCAAACTCCATTTCTGCTTGTTTCAAAAAAAAAAATCCAATACAACTAAAAATTAATAAATGCTTTAAATTGATTATTGCAGACATAATATATGCTGTGGTTTAAAGTCACTATCAGTGACAGTAGCGTTGCAAAGGATGACAAGGTGAAGGATGAAGGATGTTCAGGTGCTTCCTGCATTTGACCTTGGCTGAGACAGATGATTAGACGGCACCTCTGTGGCTGCCGTGGAGTCTCCTCCAGTGCCTCAGACTTCCTTGCACCCCAGCTTCATTTCAGAGACAGCCTGGCAGGGAGTCCTCAGGTCCAATGAGGGTGCAGGCCACAGGAACTTCCTGTGATCAATGGACATTGTATCAACCTCACTGTGTTTGTTTAGCCTCTGAGATGTCGCCAAAGGAAAGAAGCTTATTTAAGAGAAAGTAAGGACACTAGTTGTTATGGTTTATATCTGAATGTCCCCCCACACCCTGAGTGGATCTCGGAGTGCTGTCCTTTTTAGTGGATTGGTCCACAGATGCTAGGATGTAAGGAGAGGTGGTCACTTGGGCCCAGACCTGGAAGGACTTCTCTCCCTCCCAGCTCCTCCCTTCACCCTACTTCCTGCTGCCCCATGAGGTGAGCAGCTGTCTTATGCCCAGCCCTCCCACCAAGCTGCTCTGCCTGCACCTGGCCAAGCATGTAAGAACTGAAACTTCTCAAATGTGTGCCAAATAAACCTCTTCTCCTGTAAGTTGTAGGTGTTGGATATTTGGTTCCAGGAAGGAGAAACTGACTAATACACTGGCTTTTCATAGAAAGAGAAAGAACTTCTATAATAGAATTTTGTGCTCTTTTCTTAGGATGCCATATCTTTTATTTTATTAATACATGTTCACAGTACCTGAAGGTTGTATCCATTTCAAGGAGTAGATGCACATACATAACACAGCTTGATTCTTTTATCCCCTTCCCTTTCCCGCTCTTTCCCTTCCTCGGTCTCTAAACTGCCTAAACTTCCATTCTTGCTGCTGTTGTTACTATTACTATTAGTTCATGTTTATCACATGTAACATTTGCATTTGTCATGGGTGTTGGGTACATGTAAGTGGTGTGTCTTAAATCTTTGTTTTGCTTTCCTCTCCCTTGTTCTCCTCAACCCCTCCCTGTTTACAAAAGACCTCTATTTTCTTCTACCATTGCTATATTTTTAAAAATGCTCCTTTTACTTCTTAAAAAGATAATATGTTTCATTCTAGGAGGTGCACAAACCAGCAATTATAAGCACTTTATTATCAATACATTAAAATATTATTGCTTTGGCAACAAAATTCTTATTAGCATTAGAGTACAATTTCATTACAGCATACGTCTATACTAAAAAATCAACTAAGAATGCAGATATCTGCACAGAATCAACTAGCCAGCATATGATAGCTTCCATTGGAGTGTTTGGAATTGATCAGTATGGCCACATTATCAGCTGAGATTTTTCCAAATAACGTTGATGAGGTATTGAGAAAAATCAATAATTTTAATCTTAAAAATAAATCTTACAGTAGACAATCTGCTGAAGTCACTGTCACTGATATATTGGCATTGAAATAGAAGGAAAATGCTGATTGGTGTACTAACAGATCGTCCTCATCTTCTGTCTGTCCGTGGGGAGGCAGCTCCTTACCTGCTAAATGCTGCAGACGCTTGGGCTGCAGTCATTCCCAGATGGACCTCCTTGCAGAGCACACCGGTTCAGGGCTGTTTTAGAGTGGGCTGTCTTGCATCAGAGCCCAAGGACAGGCCACCTGGCACCCTCTGCCACTGCTGCATGCCTCACGGAGGACAGGAGCCATTTGGGGAGAAGCTCCATAAAACAGGCATCCCTGGGCAGCTCATGGATTCATCTAAGATGCAAAGAGAGAAGGGAGAAGTCACTGGGAATCACATGTGCACTTCTGGTTTTCTGAGGTGGGGCTTGTTTTCAAACACCCCCACGGAAGCAGAATCTGTAGTCACCTCACAGTACTTTTTTTCCTCAAGGAAAGGGTAAACGATGCTTCCATTTTTCCATGCAAATTGTGGATGCTCACAAGCTGGGGTAGATTCCTCACCCATGAGAATTTGTGAGTTATGTGACACTGGTTTAATGGTCACACGTCTTCCAGAATTTGCCTCTGCTCTGACCTTTGTGAGGAGGCGCAGACACAGAAAGGGCAGGCTGCATTTAGATCCCTACTGATGGGGTGCAACAGCGATTCTGTAAAATCCACCATCACCCAGGACGAGGTTGGCTTCTGGCAGTGAAATCAAATACAGTGTGAGCCAGAAGCTGAATCCTTCTTTGAGAATGTCTATGTCTTCATTAGCATCATCTGGAATTTTAATGGCATCCCTTTAAGGAAGATGAAATGTCTATGCATTCTCATAGGTAAAGAAAAGTGGGAAGAGATTGAGTGATTTGCCTAAGATCATACGGGGAGTTGGCTGAGTCCAGTTTAAATAGATGTCAAGACCATGGATTCTATTTCTGAGCATGAACTAACTGTAACCCATTGATAGGAGTGGACCAGTCATACAAGACAAAGAATTTTTGGTTCAAAGATAAAAGTCTTCAGTGGCCATCGTGAAACTTGTGATTTGGTTCTGGTCTTGCTTTTATAATTTCTTCCCGGTGAGATTTCTTACCCAGTGAAAATGAATGGGGAAAGAGTGTCTCCCTCCCTCGCTCCCCGCCTTTACAGCACAACAAATCTCTGTGGCCCCACGGCCCTATCTACCCTGGGTGCAGGCAAGAGGCACAAACTATGAGGATGAAAAGAATCTGTGTGGCCCTGGGGTGACAGCGGAAGCAGGGTGGGGCTGCTCTCTCCAGGGGCATTAGAATATTAAAGTATGAATGCTGTCCACTCCCACTTCAGACCTTCCTTCCTCCTCACTAAAATCACTGCCTTCCAGCAAACCCGCTCTACCCTTGCCAGAGACAGCCAGAGTTCATTTCTGCTGCTTGCAAATAAGAAGTTTGACTGACACACTAATTTAATTGCTATTATCCATAAAATCCATTTTACATCCCAGAGTGTATTTTTTACACTAAGTCTACAAGCTCTTTATTGGTTCTTAGTATAGATGTAAAACCCTTTCTAATAGAGAAACAGCCTAAGATACAAAATATAAAAAATGTGGTTTATGTTGTGTTCCATCATAATTTTTTACTAATTTGCACAATATAATGGCTTCACATAAAAGGAATAAAAATTAATTTCGCTGAAATTAGTCAAACACAGTGAAAGCTGCAACATTAGCTGTGTTTTAAAAGTAACTATGTCTTTAAAGTGGCTGTGTCGATTTCCACCTGGCCCAAAGGACTTGGTTTGCCCACCCTGTGGCCGTGGCTGTGTTCACAACCCTCTGGAGCCCTGGGTACAAATGAGATGGCAGAGAACAGGGTGGCGGCAGCTTGGGATCCACACCCCGGCCCCAAAGGGGAGGCTGGTGGATCTGGAATTTCACAGTTTAAGGAGGCATTTCAAGCTGGCTTTGGGATTAACATTTACAGCAGTAACACAGGCTTCACCTACATATGTTTTACGAGATTCAAATAGTTTTCTTAAAGCGTGTGTGCATCGGCAGGGTGTGGTCCCCAGATTTACGGGAGGAAGACACAGCCATCTTGGAAGTGCTGCTGTCTTCTGGCTTGGAGTCACCACGAACTCTGCTGACCCTCAGGGCCTGGAGCCCCACTGGGAGCCCTGAGGCTGTTTAACTACAGCAAGGACGGTCTCCGCGTGGGGTGGTGCAAGGAATCGTGGACAGGATGCCCCAGAAGGAGGTGCCTCACACCATGTGCCAGCTCCTGCCCTACGGTGTGAGCACAGCGGAGGGTGCCCCGCTTGCTGTGGGACTGGGAGGCCCGCTCCTCTCCTGCTGAGACGGCTTGTTTGCATTTACTTTCTCTTTCAACCACCAACTTCCCTTTCCCTTTTGAATTCCTCCTAGCTGGCTATTTCCACCGTGACGCTGTGTGCTTTATGAATTCTTATTTTCATTATGGGGATTTATTCTATGTCTTACCAAACTGAACAGCATTTCTTCTGTGTGTATGTGCGTGTGTGTGAGCGTTTAAACAACAGAAGTTATCCATGTTTGGCTGCACATATATTCTTAGCATTCTGGAAGACCAAGGCAGGACTGTCAGATAGCATTCAGTTCTAGCAACTTCACAAGACTTTGTCTAGAAAAAAACAAAACAAAACTGAGGATGTTGCTCAGTGAAGAACCCCTGGGTTCAATCCTCAGTATTACACACACACACACACACACACACACACACACACACACACACACCAGACATTTTTATGAACACTGATCATATTCAGACATTCATCTTAAGAAATCATTGACAGTCCTTGATACAGTAGTGTATTCACCCAGTGCCCAAGACCTTAATAAATATCAAGCCTGTTCTGACATAGCTGCCGATTAACCCAGAATATGATCAATATGCAATTGATCCCCATCAGAAGTGAGTTGTTATGTGGTTTGTTTTAATGAACCACGGAAGAAACCATTTTGCAGTGTCATATGTCAGCAGAGCTAAGATCTCCAAAGTGCTAAGCATATTCCACACCTGCTTTCTAGGCTCATTTTCTTTTTCCCTTGAACTGCTCAAAATTATTATGTAGCACAGAATCAAAACAGACTGTGCTAAGTGGAATAAGGAAATGTGGACACACTTAGTTTAATCATTAAGAATGACTCTAAAGAGCATGCCGGGGAACAGGAATTAGACAATCTTTTCAGAAGCATCTTTCCACCTATCAATCTGTCTATCTGTCTGAGATGCAATCAGGAGGAGACGGGCAGAGAAAGCACT